AAACAATCCAAACCTATATGCATAGTAATTACAAAGACACATAGTACAGGATGAACATTCCATGATGGTGAATTAACAAGTGTTAAATTTGATATTTGGTTTCATCTCAAAAAAAAAAAAATTGATATTTGGACATTTACAGAGTACATTATTTCAATTAAATGAAGTCTAGTTAACTGTGAATCTCCCTTTTGGAATTTCTTCAACCAGGATTCACCATGCCCATTAATGGTGCCATCATCCCCTGAAAAGAAAATCAGGTAAAAAATTAATAATTCAAATACCACAATTTTTTGACAAAGATTATTATATTATATAAATACATACAACCATCTTTTTTAAGAAAAAAATTGACCTGTAATAACTACATCAATTAGGTTGATACCAAAGATGAGGCTTATATAAAACAAAAAAACTATAGTTAAATTTCCAGAAGAAGAAAGGGACATCTAACTGAAAAACATAAATAATTTGTATTTAGTACTCTGCATTATGTCGAATTTGCTGAAAAACTCACTGTGTTATAAATATTAACAAAAAAGCCATAGGATGCATTTTTTAGCACACAACACCCTAAATGGTGTGTTTTTAGGGGTAGTCAGCTAAAAAATTGCACAATAGGGGAGTTTTTGCTAATATTTATAATATGAGGAGCTTTGTCACAATTAAAGTAAATACAGTAAATGCAGGGGTCAGGGGTGCTAAATGTAATAAACCAAAAACAGAAATAGTAATAAAAGAAAACATAAAATTAAAACCTGAGAAGCGAGAAGAACAACATCTTTATGGAGAAAGAATGTAAAATGGCTGGTCAAATTAAAGCTTCCAGTCAACCCCACTTCCCAGAAGGAACAAAGAGCATCGATCCACCGTCCGATTCGAACTGGCTGAGATGATCGACAACCATCTGAAAAGCTCTGGTATTCGACGTCGTTCCATCACCTACCCCGCCAAAATTCGTCAGAGATACCCCGTGGCAAAAAACAAATGCACATAAATCTGTATTCAGAGAAAATATAAAACGAAGGCACATTACATGACTCTATATAATAAGTGTAAAGAAAGAAACAAATACTGACTAATACAAGTACAATTGTCGATTGCAAAATGAAGTATAAAAGAATTAGAAACATGTTATTACAAGATGAATTAGAAATTCATAATTTCACTTCCGATGAAAAAATACAACTAATAGACGAAACTTCATTATATGGACCTAATTAATACTTGATGACTTGCATTCATAAGTTATAGCAAATGCTCACTATTTGGGAAACATTACTTCCATTAGTTGTAGACATAAATGAAATATACGTAAACACAAACAATTAGTAATAAAACAATTATTATAGCAGTTATCTCAATCAATAAAAAAAATGAAAAAATAAAAAATTAAATTAAAAAAGCATACAAATGCTCTTGCTGTTTTTTGTCCTATTCTTTTTTGGTCTCCAATGTAATAGATGTTAACACATAGGAAAGCATTTCTGAATTTTTGAACTTAGTTAAAGCAGAAGTTTGCTTTATTATATGTCTGCTTCTTCTTGTAACTTACATTTTTGTAGACAAAACAACCAATATCATAATAGATAATCACATAGGATTCTAACTTCTAACAAGTTCCACAAATACGCCGTCAAAGACATACACATCCGCAACCAAACTACACTCAGCTACATAGAAACTCAGACTACAGAGGTGTCGTCATTGCATATAATATATTCGAAGACATGCATATAATATTAAGTATCAAGAAAGGGAGAGAAATATACCCATAGGATATCATCTTGCCCGAGTAAGCTTGAGTGGTTTCTATTAGCATTTCCAAGGATATCAGCTAAAAAAATATCAGAGAAGAGCAATAAGCGATTGAAAGCAAAACACATAACCTCAAATCAAATGCAAATGAAAGCAAGGACATAGATCAATTACAAAACCATTACACAATACACTGAACAACTGCAAATGAAG